GGGCCAGGGAAGGAAAATCTTACTGCAAGTTGTTCTTGCATTTTTGTTGGGCTGCTGTGGTAGGTCAGGGCTGAGCCCCTGTGATGTGTGAAGGACTGATTTCAGGCAGCTGCTGCCATCCTGTGTCCCACTGAGTGAGAAGAGGTTGATGAAAAAAGGAACACAATAGCTGTGGAAATAGAAATAAAATACTGGAGACATTAGTGCAGAAGTATGGGTGAGAACAGGAGCTGAAACTCCTGAATTACTCCGCCTAAGTGCTTGCAAGTATTTAATGTAACTTGGCTTGCTCATGGGGTTGGTGAAAGGTTAAGGTGATGTGTTTGGGCTGTTCTTTTCTTACCTGGACACTGTGGGGCTGCTCATACCAGTCTCTGACACTGTTCCCGTCGCCTCCCGTGCAGACATTTGACAAGCAGGGATTCCATGCTGGCACACCACCTCCTTTCAGCCTGCCCTCTGCTCTTGGATCGACTGGGCCCCTGAACCCTGGTGCTGCCCCGGGTTATGCTCCAGCCCCGTTTCTCCATATCCTCCCTGCACATCAGCAGCCTCATTCCCAGTTGCTGCATCACCATCTTCAGCAAGACGGGCAGGTGAGTTTGACCCTTCTTGCTTCTACAGCATGCTTGAGGACAGATTGCTCTCCCCACATCCCAGGAGGGCTTAGTGGGGGTTGGCTTCCCTCTGAATCCTTGCTTTGCTCATTGGGAAAAGGGAATGACAGTGATTGCATATTGACAAACTTGATGCTGTTGACCAGGTTGGAGAGGGAGCCTCATGAAGCTGAGCTAGGGGAACTTCATGTCCTTACCCTAAAGAAGGACAGTGTGATCCTGGACTGCATTAGGGAAAGCATTGCCAGCAGGTTAAGGGAGCTGATCAGCGCTGGTGAGGCTACAGCTGGAGTGTCGTGTCCCATTCTGGGGTCCTCAGTATGAGAGAGACATGGACACGCTGAGAAAAGTCCGGCATAGATCCACAAAGACGGTGAAACCACTGACTGCAGCATCTCTCCTGTGAGGAAAGGCTGGGAGAGCTGGGACTGTTGAGGCTGGAGAACAGGAGGCTCAGGGGTTGGGCAAGACACCTCAAGAGGTCCCTGCCAGCCTCAGCTGGCCCAGGAGTAGATCATGAGCACTTGTACGGTAGCCCTAGGGGATAAAGTTCAGCATCCCCTTGCAGGTTGCATATCAGCTCTGATTTGGTTTCACCAGCGCATGCGTTTCCTTTCGTCACTATTAAGGTTCCCTGAAAAAACAGAGTGTCCTGCCTTAGAGTCCAGAAATAGGAAATTACTTCTTGCTGTGTGTGTGTGATGTCCTTGGCTGGTGCACCACCTCTGTTCACCTTGAGAGAGGGAGTGCCTTTGCTGTCCCCACTCCTGCTCCTCTCCTTCCTTGTGCTTAAACCTGACTTGGATGGAAGGCCCTGGAATGGTGCATCCATGTGATCTGCTTCGGTGTCTCTGTGGCTGCTCATCCTGGATTGTGAGACACAGAGATGCAGGGCAGCAACGGGTCAGTTCAGGGGGAGCATTGCTGCACTGGTGGGCACTAGGGCTGTCCCCTGGGGTGGCAGCTCCTCTGGTAATGTTCACATGGGCTCTACTTTCTATGTTAGCTGATGCCTCTTACCTCCTTCGTTGCCTGTTTCTAGGGTGGATCTGGCCAACGCAACCAACCCAGCACCATGCAGCAAAAGTCTCAGGCTACCAAAACCGCCTATGGCACTTCTCCGTACTGGACAAACTAAATCCGACACTGGGGAGGAGGGAGAGAGTGGAAGGAGAGGAGGAGAAAAAGAAACAAAGGAAAATGAAAGAAAAGAGAAAAAAGTCAAAAAACCGAAGCCCATTCCTGGATTTATTAGGAGAAGTAACTGCTCAGCCAAACGTCTGTGTGGGGAGAACTGCAGCCATCCATCCATCCTCTGTGTGACTCACCTGCTTCCTCTTTGAGTTACTGTTGTATGTAATATATTTATGTATGTATTTGTAAATGTAATAGAGCCTAAATGTGGGTTTTTTGCATCTTGCAGCCATTTTTTTTTTTCTTTGTAGGAAAAATAATTATCCATTTCCCATCTGTACCAGGCCATCCTTTCTTGTTCTTTCTTCAAGCTCTATGGACTTTATAACTCTGTCAATGACAAACTGTACCATTTTGTTTTTTTTTGTTTTGTTTTGTTTTGTTTTTGGTTTTCTGGTTTTGTTTTTTTTTTTCTTTTTTTGTGAGCTGGAGCCCATTTATTTAATGCAGTTCTAAATTCAGGCAAATAAGGAGGCCTGCTCCTTTCCACCCAAAGAAATCAAGATGTGCCCCTGTTGCTTTGATTTCTCCCTTCAGCCCCCAATATAGCTATCATTTAAACGGGGTGAGAGGGGTGGGGAAAAAGAACAGAAAAAACATGTTTTATGGGCCTTCCCCTTTGTCTTCCGCCTCCCTCCTGCTGTGGAAGATGAAGCCCTTGGGCAGTTTGGTCACTGTGGCCCTGAGCTGCAGCCTCACATTATTATTTTTATTTTTTTTTTAAACAATAAAAATAAAAAGGTTTCCCTTTTTGGTTTGTTTTAGGGTTTGTTTGGTTGGTTGGTTGTTTTTTTTTTTAATTCTGTTTCTCTAGCAAGAGACTGTGGATGGCTCAGTGTGTCCTGGAACCTCCTTTGCATCATTAGAGGCAAAAACTGGGTAGCGGTTTCTTAAAGTATAAGCTCTGTCTTGTACCTCTTTTTGCCCTGAGCCACCCTGCCCAGGAAAGCCAGAGCTACTGGATGAAAACTTCACCTATCCCTCCCACTTTTATAAAACAGAGACCCTTATGGAGGCAACTCCTAGTCCTTCTTGTCCTACACCAGTGCGGTGAATGTTTCATTTCTTTCTACCCCTTCCTCCACCTAATAAAGATCTGAGCATATCACTAGTGTTTGTCTGCATTTTCAAGGGTTCCAGGAGCAGCTTTGCTTTCACAGCCTGTCCCTTTACCCCCTGCTCCACCCAACAAAAGCTGAGCTGGGAGGGTGAGAGCAGCACGTGGGGCTGCAGGGGAAGCCGAGTACCATGGCCAAGGTGAGTGTACCTCAGTGGGCCCTGGGCAGCACCCTGGCCCGTGTCATGCGTGTCCATCCCTGCCTATTGTGTCCTCTGGTCCTATGCTCTGTACAAATCCCTACGGAACAGATGGCATGGGTAAGGCAGGAGTGTGGCTTCAGTGCTGCTGTGAGGTCCATGGCCTCCACCAGCATGGTCACAGAGGGGCAGTGCCTGGCCCAGCTCACCCTGAGCATCCTGGCCCCAGGCAGCAGAGGTAGGGTGTAGAGGTGAAGCTGTACATGTCCATGCAGCAGGGAAGGGGCTTTTTTGCACTTCCAAGTTCTGTTTCAAGATCCAGAAGAAGACACAATAATGAAGCTGTTTCTACCATGAAAACCATGTTTTGTTCTTAACATACCATCTCTGAGGTCCTGTAGGAGCCCAAGTCAGTGTGTCACTTAGCCCTCTCCTTACCTGTGAGCAGCACACCATGAGCAGCACTGGGATTACTCTGCCCCAGCTCAAGTTTTTATACTGGTTGAACTTCAGCAGCTGCTGTGACCCCTTGGCCACCAGCTTTGGGGCCTGAATGTCAAGGAGGACACAACAGTTTCTGCAGGCTGGGGCCCTGCTGCCAGGTCCTACAAAGGCTGACAGCAACAGCACCTCCTTCACTTGTGACAGCTGCTGCCTCATAGGAGATGCTCTGGAAAACATTCTCCATAGCCTGCAGCATGCATTTCGGTTGTTCATAGGTGTACATCAGTGCTTGCCTGTGTGCCGGGTTCCACACAGTGGCAAAAGGCAATGCTCAGTGTTGGTGCTGGTGCACAGCAGCCCTCTGAGCCTTAGACTTGTTGCAGAGCAGCTTCTGGCAGGGGCTGACTGCAGCCAGTGCTCCCCTGCCCTCCCCAGCTGCAGTGTCCATCCTTGGCCATGGCTGTGGGTACAGAAAGGGCAGCGCTTCCACTCCTGGTGGCCATGGGCTATGATGGCCTCCAGCTCCCTCTTCCCCAGCACAGGGCAGCAAAGGCACCTTCCCACCCACCCTGGGGTGCTCTGCACCCTGCAGTCAGCCACAGGCAGGCTCCCCTCCTTTCCAAGCCAGACTAAACAATGTTTTCCTATTGGATTCCCATTTCCTATTGGATCTGCTGGGCAATTCTGCAGCACTTCCCTAGGCCCCATTCCTTCCCCAGGATGATCATAGAGCCAAGGTTGCTCATGGGCACTTGGCCATCAAATAAAAGGGCAGCTGGGGAGTGCAGGCTGGGCTGGAGAGCGTGTCCTGCCTCATGTCTGCTGAATGGAGCAGCCAGAACAAGCTGGTCACAATCCCTCTCAGTCCCATTGCCCAACATAGAGGCTCCTGCAGTCCCCCAGTGTGGCTGTGAACCCAAAGCTCTCGGGCCACAGCCACATTTGACTCAGCAGGTGCTGTGCTGCACATGATGCCAAGCACAGCTCCCACACATGTGCCCTCCCAATTTTATTCTCATGCAGCAGCCTGGCACTGTGAAACAAACCTCTTCCCTATGGAGCTCACAGGAACCCAGGGAGTTCCCTGTGGGGCTGGAGTGATGACCTTGATTCCTCTGCCAAGCATCTGGATGAGGCCCCAGCCCTTTCCCCCAGCACCTCAGCCCCATAGCAGCAGGAGCTCTGCCCCACGTCCTGCACCCTTGCTGCAGGTACATGCGGCACTGAACCATCCTCGTGCTGGTTTTAGGTTTCTCAGCAGCAAAGCCCAAGGCCTGTTGTGAAAGCCTTTCTCTAAATCAGTTCATCCTTTTAGTCTGGGGCTTAGGCAAGCATCTGTCAAACAGCAGCTTTATCTGCCTATCACCTTCCAGCTAATTATGTGCATGGCATTGATACTGAACCTGTGAACAGATGTTATCTAAGCCTTTTATGTAACCCACACAACGCAACCAGCTCGATTAACAGTGAAGGACCAGGCCAGGGTCATTTTCATTTCACATTTTTATTAGTAGACAGATGTGCAGAAAAGACAAAATATAACTACTGAAGGGGAAGACAACACAAAAATGCATCAGTTAATTCTTTCTGGTAAATTATACTGAAGAGAAAAAGAAAAACAAAAAGGAAAAACATCTGGGCTTTCACCTAAGAAAACTACTTAGAAATCTAGTGTACCCTGCTGGTTTCAGAATGGTTGAAAACTGCATTTGAAGGGGCCTGTAGTTGCAAATGTAAACGCTAAAATCAGCCAACACAGGAGAAAAGGGTCAAGATAGAAACTCCAGAATACACAGATCAGGTAAACATTTTTTCTGCAATCTCTTAAATAGTTAAAAAAAAAACAAAAACAAACCAAAAAAAAAAAAGAAAACAAAAAACCACCCTCATACTTCAGTTTGTATCTTAAAAAGAAAGGAAACCAGCAAGTCAACAAGCAATGACACTGCACAGGACAGCAGGAAAGAGAAATCAGTCTGTTCAATGTAGGAGCGCTCAAAATAGTTTGCTTTTGAGTTTAAAAAAAGGTAGAGTCATGATAATGCATCTTACAACACCAAGCTTGAAAATACAAGTCACTGGAGAGTATACAGTGAAGACGGTCAAAAGTACAAGGGGAATCCTGAAAGATGCAGTATCCTCATTTCAAGCCATGAGCACAGCCACACTCTGCTCCTTCACCCTCCAAGCAGCACCCGAAACATGGAAGGTGGTGTCCCTATCCCCATGCAGCCCCAGGACTGGGGGTGCCCCACACCATCGCTGGTGCAGGGGAGCCCCTCTTCCAGCACCAGAAACACGAGGGGCTGAGCTTGCCCTTGCTGGAAGCGGGATGAGCTGGGGCAACACTTGCGGGATGCTGCAGGAGGGGTCTGGCTGCCTCCCCAGGTAACATGCAGGCAGAGGGTCACAGGAGCACAAGGTGTCACCACAGGGGCTGTCCCTGCTGCAGCACATCCCAGCCAAGCAGTGTCCTGGATGCACATCTGCCCTGCTCACTTGCAGAGAGCCCACCAGCCTTCATCACCCCAAGGGCTTGCCCTCCCCTGCTCTCCATCCAGGCGCTCGCTCCCATCCCGCTCCTCCTTGTCCCCCGGGACACAGCCACGGAGCTGGTGACAGAACAAAGGTTACTCCCAGCAAAGCACCCCGGTGACGTACCATTGAAAGCCCTGAGATACACCAAGGGGAGGCAGAAGCAAGTGCCCAAGCCTGCAGCTCTGTCAGGGTAAAACCACCTCTGTACCTGTGTTGATGGAGGGTCTTGCACCTCAGCCCTGATGCTGGAGGTGCAGGCTCAGCACAGGAGGAGCATGCAAAGGGTGAACTGGGGCCACTGCACCACAGGCAAACACAAGCAGCACGCTGCAAAGGGGTGAGGGTGCTGAGTGACTGGGGAAGAGGGTTCTGCAGACACGAGCAAGCCGGATCCCCCCCTAAGCTCTGCCAAGAGATCCCAAAAACATGCAGAAGGCTGAGCTTAGTGCACCGGCTGAAGCATGCTGCGAAAGAGCCTGTCTAACCCTGCCGCTGGCCTTCTCTTACAGCCTGAAAGCACCATGTACCCCTCTCCGGTGGGCTGCACACATGCACCCGTGCTCTCCCCCAGCAAGGCAGGGGAGAGCTCGGCACACATCCATCCCCTGTGCCCCATAGCTTCTGCAGGCACAGGGGCAGCCTGGCCACCCCAGGCAGGCACCAAAGGCAGCTCTTTATCTCCGCATTTACCAATGTGTGACCTACATAAACACCACAAACACTGGACACAGGCTGCAGGAAGCACAGGCTGCTAGCAAGCACTGCGGCAGGAGTCTTTCAGTATCCCCCCCCTGCCATAAAGTAGCTGAGGATGAAGGCTGACCTGCTGGGCAGTGTGATGTGTATCTGTTCTCCTCCCTTCACAGAGGCAGCTCCAGCAGGCCTCAGCAGCATAGCTAAACTGAGCTTTCCCAACCCCGACCTAGTCTGAAAAAGAATAAAACATAAAATAAATAGCAACCCAGGGCTCAGCTGTACAGACATGAAGTGTTAAGTGTTTATTTTAGGGTTCGTTTCACAAGCCTTTTTCAGACACAAAGCTGATCGTGCCCCCTGGGGCTCCAGGGACCAGCTATTTCCTATGTTGAGCAGGCTGGAAAAGGAATACTGTACCTTTCAGTGATATCCCATCAAGCTCGACACAGTAGCTTTACACTCTCCGCCCCACACCTTATAAAGGAAAAGCCACCACCACAAGGCTAAACGAATGTACACACACTATTATCGTAAATGGAGCAGCTAAACCTTGGCAATTTGCTTTATGTGGATCTTGTGTTGTTTTTAATTCCCCAGTAAATGCAGCACTTGAGCTCCCCCAGAAAAGAATGAAAAAACCAACCCAGCTTCCAGCGGGTTTATTCCAGCTTTAAATACATTAAACATCTCAATGCAAGGCTGCAACTCAAGAACCTAAAGGCGAGCAAACCTGTTTTTGCTGTGAGCTGTTTCGTAGAGAAGTGAAAGGGTTTTTTTTTTTTTTCTTTTTTTCAAAAAGAAATCGTAATACAGTGATAAGAGGGCTAAGAATGCAAGAATTCAGACATTCTGTGGAGGGTCTCTAAGAGGTCCATAAAAAAGGAGCAAACAGATCCATACAACGGGAGACAGCAGGAGACAAGAGTTTGTTTTTTTTTCTTTTGGCCCTCCCCCCCCACTTTTTTGCTGGACTGCTGCTATGTTACCGCTGCTCCCTTCTGGCCTGAGTCGGCAGGGCAGTACAGGGGCACCGGGGGAGCAGGTCACGACTCCTCATTGCCAGAATCATCATCATCGTAACAGTCGGCATCCTCCTCCTCCTCATCTTCGTCGTCAATGTCGTCATCGTACAAGTCGTCGTAAAGCAAATCCGAACTGTTGTCATTGGAAGGCACTTTAGTTTTGATGCAGTACTCTGCCAGCGTAGTGGGGACCTTCACACCATCCTTCTCTGCCTCAGCTTTGGTGGCCAAAACCTGTTTCCTGCAGCGAGAAGGACGCACAGAATGAGCAGGGCTGTGTGCCAGTGCAGCTCGGTCCCTGCCAGCCCCAGCCCTCCTGGCACCTCAGCATCAGCAGACCTGATCTTTGGCTGAAGCATCACAAACAGCACCAGGAACAGATTTAGTTCCTGCAGCCACGGGTTTGGGAGTGCTCCAGGGATGTCTGCAGCACACACGTGCCCAGCAACACACAAAATCAGTTATCCTACAGGACACCGCAGCAGAGACCTCTGCCAGAGCTCAGAGCAAATTGCATCACATCTGCTATGAAAGGGATGGTCAGGGATTTCCCATGATGATTTATTGACTCCACCACTGATGACTCTACCCCAGCATGCTCCAAACTGTGATCCCCACAGCCATCTCCCAGCTCTGAGCTCCCGGTAACAGCATTCAGAGCACGTGGCTGCACCCTGAGCTGCTGCTGGGGCTGGCAGAAGACAAGTGTTCCCTCTTGCCCTAGGAAAAGGCTCTGGCTTGGGCCACAGCACTTGGGCTATGGGGGACCATCAAGGTGAGGAGCAGGTAGCAGCCTGTGCCTTCACCCCATACGGTCTCCCACCCCCTGCTGATGGATTACATCCAGCTCTGCTGAAGCCAAGGGCACTGGAGGCAAAGATAACCTCCTAGTGAGGCTCTCAGCACACTGACTGCCCTGCAAAACTCCAGGCAGGGGTATACCCTGCTCATTCAGCTAGTGAAGTCAGAGCAGATGTGCTCTTGCCCCAGTCCCACTGCAGTATGGGCTGCCCATCTACTGCTCAGCAACCTGAATCAAGTTTACATGATTTCCTTACAGCACCTGATGAACCATGAACTTCTCAGCAAAGGACAGTCAAGACTGAGCAGTGCTTCCAGCTAATCAAACCCAGCTTTGCAAGCGCTTGCCAAATCCCACTGATACGCCTTCAAATGGGAGGGACAAGATTATGATTCATGAGGGCATTAAGCACACACTTAGTAGGATGCAGGCAGTGCTCAAAGGCAAGTAGGGACTTCAACTGGGATTTACAAGCAGCCAATAGGTTTTACAGAGCATCGTGCCAGATTAGCATGAAAAAAGAATTTAGACTGATCAGCCCAGTCCTTCTGCTCCAGAAGTTTACGCTGCTCCTGTGTGCTGGGAATCCTGGAGGGACCAAAGCATGGACTTGGAATACGATGACAATTCATTTCCAAAGAAACAACCACAGTGAGAAGCTGGTTTCAGCAAATTCTGCAAGCAGCCTGGTTTACAGCATTCAAAACCAGAGGCTGGTGGCATCAAACAATGACAAAGCTTACCTTATGATTTCAGCGTACTCCTTGTCTTTTCCTTTACTGTCCCTCCATTTCCTGAACATGACTGATGCATCCACGTTGGCAGGAGAGAATGTATTGGGCTCATTAAGCAAAGAGATTACACTCAGTAAGATAGTCCTGAAAAAGGTAACCACAACAGCAGTCAGAGCTAACACATTCACTGGTTCTGGATGCTGACAACTTCTCTAGGTCAGGAACTCATTTTAAGTCTTATCTTAAGCTAAGGATAATTTAAGGATAATATCTGAAGTGAGAGTAGATACTCAGGAATTTCAGACCCTGGCTATTGGCATAGGAACAGTGACACAACACAAACTTCAAGGATCTTACAGCAGCCTTTCAGTACCTAAAGGGGGCCTACAAGAAACTTGGAGAGGGACTTTTTACACTGGCATGTGGTGACAGGACAAGGGGGAATGGCTTTAAACTGGCAGAGGGGAGACTGAGATTAGACATCAGGAAGAAGTTCTTCCCTGTGAGGGTGCTGAGGCGCTGGCACAGGTTGCCCAGAGAAGCTGTGGCTGCCCCATCCCCGGCAGTGCTCGAGGCCAGGTTGGATGGGGCTTGGCACAACCTGCTCTAGTGGAAGGTGTCCCTGCTCATGGCAGGGGTTGGACCTGTATGCGCTTCTGTGATTCTCTGATCTCATCTGACTACAAACCACCATGTCTGTGCCTGTGGCAGGGAAGCAGGCAAAGTCAGGATCAGACCAGAGGTCAGCTTGTCCACACCACCATGGATGGCCAGCCCCTAAGGATGCTGTAACAGCACTCGAGCACAGCAAGGGAAAGACTGTGCAGTTGTTTTTCAATATCTAGGCAAGCTGCCCAGGGCCCAGCAGGATTCAGCTGCAGGTACTCAAAGCCAGAAGAAGTCATTCACACAACCCTTGGCAGGCAGACTGCCTCCCTCCATGTCTAGAGCAACACAGAGCTGCTGACTGCCCTGCTGGTATTTACTGGGGCAAACATCACCTCCCTCACCCAGACCCTTCTCATGCATTTCCTACAGCCTTTTGCACTTCAGAGATTCAACCCTTTGCTCCTCACACATTGCCACAACCAGCACAAAACTCCGTGAGTCCCATCACGTGGCTCTGCACACCCATCTATCTGGCTGTAGCTACCACCACAACAGCTTCATCATGTCCAAAGTGGTTCTGCTGTCAACAGCTCTCAAATTAAATAGAACAGAAGAACAAGAGACAAGGAATAAGTCTTGAACTACAGTTCTGCTTTACAGCACTTGATTAAAAGAGACTAGAGGCTCTCCTGTACTTGCATGGATTTAGTGGCACATTCAGAGCAGCATGTGCTGAGCAGATCTACCAGATCATATATCCAGGAAATGCTTGGTCATTTGGATGCTGAGTTTTTTGAAAGGTTTTGAAACTAGACACTTGTGTCTGGCCAGGCTGTTCAGCACAGCTATCAGGAGAGTCTTAAACAATTTACTTTCCAAATAATATAATTCAGTAGGAAAAGAAAACAGCAGCTCTGGAAAAAAACTGGTCAGACTGGAACGATGGGCAGAATTGAAACCATCTTCTACTTTGTCTCAAGAGTTCATTTAAAATCCTTCGATTCTTAGCAAACAGGCTGTAAAGGCACCATGTAAGCTCAAGCACCATTGTAGCAGATTTACTGTAAAGCAAGAGAAGTCTAGGGAAGACTAAGGGCAGGAATTCCTATCTGGATTTAGCATCTGCTCTACCACACCTTCCACCAACAAACTGAGGAGAAGCCAGTTTTCACTGCAGTGCCCCAGACTCCAAAGTCACTGCAACCCTAATTAAATACACCAAGGCAACTATTTATTATACACTGTATTCCTCATCCCTTACCAGCACATTAGATCCGCTTCATCACTGTGATACCTTAAGAGCTGAACATAGAGCTGCTATTGTGGGTAAAAGGTGAACAAGGTACAGTAATGGGAAGGGATCTTGTTAGGATCTGACAGGACCAAAACCACAAAAAAGTTCAGCTGAAAACATCCTCAGCATCAGGTGGACTGGATACAGGCCGACCCTCTGCAATACTGTCAGGAATCTCTCAGGTGAGGCTATTCTAGCATGTTATTTCATGAAAGCTGACTGCATGACAAGTGGGGATTTCAAGCCTGCCTCCTGCTTTCTTGCATCCCCCACCCCATTCTGGGGAACAGCAAGCTCTTTTAAGTGTTTACAGAGCTGTTGTCCTCAGAGTGAGTCCCTCTACACCCCTTTGCTGGCTGCTGCCTCCAGATGGTAGAGGCTCATGGAAACAGACCTGTTACATGTTTTTTTCCTCTCCATGTATCAACAAAAGGCTTAGACACAGATGAATTTTGTTGAAAACAGATACTGAATTTCATCAAAACCAGCACAGACTGGTCCTCCCGAGTACATCCCGTAACATATCTTGCTGGAAAAGGATGTTCTTTTGTTCCAGCTACTACCTATGTTGTAGCCTCTCAGAGCCACCTCTAGAGGTAGGTATAGATTTGTCCGGGCATGTTTTTTCTCTCCCGTATAAAGCAGTTTTGGCTTAGGCTGTACTGACAGTTGTGTTAGTGCACTGAGTCGGTTGCAGGAACCATCCATATCTCAGACAGCCAAAAAAAGGCAAAATGGGCATCCTCAGGAAACAAGGCAATAGTGAGACAGGACATCACCTATCCTGACAAGATACAGATGTACCAACATCGTGAAGAGTATGCTCAGTTCTGGCCTGTGCACCTCAAAGGCCAGAGGGAAGACAGAAGACATATGAGGAAGGGCAAATAAAAGGAACAGAGAGCCTCAACTCTAAATCCTGCCACCAATTCCTCAGCTTTACTGGCTTCAGGATGCAAGAAAAGCAGTATTCTCTGTCACAGGTCATGGCTGCATTCCTTTACATCTTGCTGGATGTTTGCCATATTTACTTACGCCTGTCTCATCTAGCTCTGAGTGATGGGCAAAGTCCGTATCAACTGTGTTTAAAGAAATTAATGAGCATGCTTAACATCACAGAGGTGGAAGCAAAGGTGCTCTCAAAGCTGAAGGATGATGTTCCCCTGCCAGACACTTCAACCACAGTCATCTGCATTAAACGGTCAATACTCAGCAGGATTTACAACACTAAGCAGCTGAAGAGAAGCCCTCAGTGACACAGGCAGCTTGTTACAAGCATGTTCCCCTTCCACACATTCAGCCCTGCTGCCTCCTGTCTAACACTGGAGCTGTGCAAAGCCAGATGGGAGCCCAGCAGGATTTGTTGCTATCAGCACTCAGCCCGACAGGTGATGCTGGTAGCAGGGTAGCAGTTAAGAACAAGGCTTATTTCCGCTAGTCATTCGATCTGAGAAATGTTTGCTCCCCAGATGTCACCCTTAAGCCCTACATGTTCCAATGAAGTAAGCACCAAAAGACTGCAACATGGTAATGGAGAGTAGAAGTCTGAACTAGCACTGTAAGAAGTTGCATGTCAATCTTTCGGGTTGTATATAAAGAAATGTTCAAACTGTGTGTGCAATGTAAGTAATCAATGCCCAGAGCTGTCCCCTAACTATCAGTTGAGGCTTGCCACCTAGTCAGTTCTTTATGGCAGTGTCATAAAGACAATGAGAATTAAATTCAGCTGGTTATCAAAGCATGGAGAAGTTAGCTTTGAATGTCTCTGGCACTTAGTGATCCTTCATTTCTTTTTGACAGGAAGAAAACTACCTGGCTAACTGTTCAAGATACCACACTGCAGGGCAGGAGACAAATACTGCAAGGCAAATTTACGCCTAGTAGGCAGATTTATGCACAAAGTTACTTCTACTGGGTCTCAATACTCTTTTCCACTACTGTTATCTTGGAGGAATTTGAAATCTGTAAGTGTAGGATAACACAGACTTGGAAAGGCTAGGATACTGGAGAACTGCTTGAAGAGCATGAAATCCTGTGAACAGGACAGAAGGCTCCACACTGTTAGCCCAGTATCAAGACACACTGCACTCCAGTACCTTCAGATAGCTTAGTAAGTCTGGTTTCCATTTGAATCAAGCCCTAAAATCCCCAAATTCTCTTCTGAACACATCCCAGTACAAGCCTTAGTCTTGGAGAGAGACGATAGGCCTTTGAGGTCACTGTTGTACATGCGATTCACAGTTACCTGACATTTTGGGTAGGGTTCCACCTCTCGGATGGCAGCTCTCCACTTTGTGGATCATCTACAGGTGGGTGAAGAATTGAAATACATACATCTCCATTCTGCAAAACAGAAACAGAAGTTGAGAACCACCTGGTTTGAGGCAGAGGTCCGATGACAACTCCACCACTCTGTGTTCTGAGCAGTTTAACTTTGTTGATAGGAACACCCCATGTACCAGTGAAAATGTGCAAGAACTGGAAATGGTTCTCAATTCTTCCTGGGTTTATTCTATCTATACACTCAAAAGTTTCCCTTGCTAAGCAGGGTTAGTCTGCAAATTGGTACAAAGCAATCTCAAGTCAAAAGGTTTAAAGAATGTAGCAGAGCAAGAAAAACAGTAATAAAATCACACAAAACTAAATTGGTCTTAAGTGTCTGAGTGACAGACATGAACTTTAGTCACAGGAGACCCAAAGCAGGGTTAAAAAGTTTTCTTGCTCCCAGTGGTATCAAGTTAGCTACAGGAATTTTTGAATTGAAGGGTTCAGCACTCTCTATACTAGCTCAGGTATCAAAACAATGGTCCTCCCAGGACACAATAAGGTTGAACAGACAGTGCAGGGCAGGCTTACACTGCTCCTCTAGGACACAGCTGCTTGAAATAGCAGGAGAAAAAAGCAGGAGATGCTCTCTGAAGGTTTCACTGAAAATGCCTTCCAGCATGTAAGAGGAAGAATATTCTGTCAGCATATGGAAGTCACACAGCCACAATCCTCAATCTGTGTTTTACTCACCAGTGTCATAGACCAAATATAGATTTAAAGCTTCATAAGCTACCATTTATAAACACTTTAGGAAGCCTGTAAAACCAATTCTCCATAAGCAAAGTCACCCTGACACAATTACTTTATAGGAGTGCTATTGCAGTTTTCACCACAGCTGATACTCTCCACTAAAGTTGACTCCAGGGACTCATGAGATCCCAATGCCTTATGTGAGGATGGGGTGAATGTGCAGAAAGGACCCAAGGGCAGTCAGCAAATGTTGGCACCTCTGGCTTCCTGGCTGGTGGGATGACTTAAAAGTTCCTAGAGGCAGCCCCACACCTTCAGGTGGCACAGCCTCAGCAGAGGCAGCACTCATGCTGCCCCTGTCACCTTCATCCAAGGCACAGGCTGATGACAGAGGATCAGTTCTGTTCAAGATTGCAGGCAACAGGTCCCCATGCATCTAGTCTCAGCTACATCCTGACAACCCTCCAACACTACTCAACACTACACAGGAGCCAGAGCACAAATTAGTACTGCTCACAGGGATAGCATCAGTGCCTTTGAGCCTGAGCCGGTGATCACACCTACAGATAACAGCAGCTCCCATGAAGGGTCTCCCAAACATTTCAACTTGCCTTGAACAAACAGTGACATTTGTTTTATAGCTAAATAATATCCTTCTTCAGTGTTGGAAGCTTGTGATCGGTATCCAGATTTCAGTAGCTCACTAACCCTGCCGGGTACGCTAACCTAGCAAGCTCTGATCATTTTGAAGCAGGCTTTTGTCAGGAACACAATTACACACAGTAACATATTACCTGGAGCTGTTGAATAACCAAGCTTGCACTTATGTTGCTGGAACAGTTTGCCCTAACAAGGCAGTTTCCTTTTTGTGACTTCAGCGGGCTTGTGCAATCTAAAGATACTCTTTAATGTAATTTTAAGGTGAAGGTAACCTTACTAATGTCAAGAGTATGTTCACAGCCTATGCTGGTTTTACTGGTTTCCATGAATTTATGGAGTTTTTTCCTTTATCCATCTCCTGGCATAATACAGTGCTGGTGGCCAGAACAAAACATCACAGCACTTGGGGAAGTTTCTCAAGCAATTAGGTCAGCAGCATGTGGACAAGCAACTATTTGGCAATATGGAAGCCGAAACAGAAGCAAGGATGTGAGAAGTTTCTCTCTTGCATCAACCAACATTACGTGTTTGGAAGTTCAAGCAGAACAGCACTATAATAGAGTCTGGAAGGGTAAAAGTGTCATGAGGCCCGATGAGATCAGCACAGAGTTTTAGGGATCAGTGTGGTCAATGCGGTTTTACCAGAATTCAGCTAGATGACCTAATTAAACTGGAGATGGGGAAGACACTCGAGTTTCTTTCTCAAGTCTCATTGCTGAGAACTGGAACATCAGCCCCAACCTCTCCATCTAGTCCCACCAGCAGGTTCTGTCAACTGCCACTTTCTTTAATCTTCCTTACACTGAAAAGGATTTTCCCCCCCTCCTGAAAAACCCTCAAACCTCAAGCCCTTTGCTGATTTAGTCTCTGTTTCATTTGGAGTTATCCCAGTGCTTCATCTTTGTTGCTCAAATGTTGTTTCCAAAACAGTCTGCAAGCTGCTTCAGATTCCCTCAGCTCAAAGAAACACTGCCATGAATACAAAGTACAAAGACAAGAGCTGGAGTATTTGAAGAGTAACCCCAAAATACACCCAGCAAGTTTTGGGTGAGTTTCTCCTCCTACCTTCAGTTGTTTCTAGAGCCAATTTTTTATCTTTCCCACCAGAACTAGAAGAGGTCCTTTCCAAGACTCATTTTTTACATACCAGTTTGGTAACCATTTCCCACTCACCTCCTGCATGAGAATTTCTGGGTTCACAATCAACATCCACAGGATGGATCTGCAGGTCTCAAAGTTATCTTTATTTAAATATCAACTCTCATGTAACTGAAATAGAGCCTTAAAGAGAAACACCATCCACACTTGGCTACATGCCAAGTCCAAAACTGAAGTCAGGAGACTGCCAGATGACTCACTTAAGAACCCATAAAATTACCAATGCTGATGACATGGCACTTCAGCTGGGGCTGCCTCCTGCATGTATGAGAACGGCTCCATCCCCACTTCCAAGAACAGCATTCCTTACAACATTTAGATTTAACTGCCCAGCCACAAGGCTGACATAACATCAGCTTTAGTTGACGTTAACCACTTCAGTTATGGCTAGAGACATTTAGTACCTTCAATACTTCCAAAAGCTTAAGGAAGTAAGAAAGCCTTCTCACATGCCTGAGAAAAAGTTGCTTAAAAACCACCTTACCTCATAAATGTTGGGGTGCCACATTTTGGTCAGGAATCTGAAGGTAGGTGGTGAGTATGGATAGTCAATTGGAAATTTAATGTGAGCCTGAAAAAAGCAAAATATTCTAGTTAAGAAACAGAACAAGTAAATAAATAAATAAAGAAAGAAAGATAAACAAGCAACAATTACAGTGAAAACTTGGAAAAATCCAAACTTCAGTTAAGGCCATTAAATTGCTCACTTTATGAACAGTGTTCATATGACCCCACAGTATAACTACATTTATTTCTTACTATCAAAACACTAACTGAACATGAAAAACCTAAATGGACTGACCTGGGCTGGTTAATGCTCAGAAAACAAGCCAAAGAACACCCACCACATCATAATTCAAGAGGATCTGTTCAACAATTGTTAAACAGGGTTAAATGGATTTGAAAAGCTGCTACTCAAGATACTACTGCTGTCTTTATGGGTTCAGAAGCAGGCTAAAAGTGTCTGCCAAGGTGAACAGACCTGTTTTATATTTGCCACTGCAAAGGGGTGTTTGTTTTTGGGTTTTTTTTTGCCTTTCTTGTGTGAAAGTTAAGCTGGTCCATCTACCCACAGTCCCAATACTACATTTTATGCCACCACAAGCATTTCCAAAGTCTGAATACCACCTCTGTTTAATAAATCACAGCTACCAAACTGATGAACCAAATATTGACGAGCAAACATCACCTTCCAGTGGTCAGCAGCCAGCTGTAGGGCAAGACAAAGTTAGTTGTGGGAAGACTGCAGAGATACCAGCACTGGGTATTAACTTCTCTGTGCCATTCTGCCATTCACAGTAGCCAGAAAAGCCAGACAGCAGAAAAAAGGGTCTGAATCTGGACTAAGGGGGACTTGCATGCTGCTTGTTGCACTGTGGAGCACAAACCCTTCCCTTGGCATTGCTCAGCCTTCCAAGAAAATCCCACTAGCAGTCTAGTGTAGGATCTCCAGAGAGGCATCTCCTGGCCCCTGCACCACAGCTAGGCTCACACATGACTGAGAATAAGAGATCCCAAAAGCAAGGTGCATGTGATGAGAGGAGAACCCCAGGCCAACCTCTTCCACTTAAACATCCAACCATGCCACCTGGACCAGGGGTGCACCACCCCTGTTCAACAGCCATGGGAAGTTTTATTCCCGGACACAGGCAACCAAACAAAGAGGATTACTGGAGCCACCTGGCTACAGTTTCACTTGTAGATCAGTATATGCCTTTGCATGCAAACTAAGTTCTATGGAGCCAGATGGCCAGGTAGCCAAGAAAAGAAAGGTCTTCTGTTCATCTTTATGAAACAAATTCAGCAGCTCATGTGGCTTTACTTTCTGTACATGCCTGCTCATGATACTGACTATATGTGGGTATGTAACAGCACCACTGAGTCTTCACCCTGCAGTCATTTGCCATGGCATACTCAAAACCACAAGATTTATGATCTGCTTAAACAATCCTAGCCCACAGCCTAAGTAAGGTCAGTTACATGAATGGCAGTCCTCCCAGAAGAGGATGTCTCTTGTTACCACACTGCCTCAGAAGAGAGCAGTTGCTGCAATAAGGACATGCCTGGCTCTACAACATGCTACCCTGCACAGGGGGCAGAACAGAAGTTTACCAAAGGCAGGGTAGACTCACTCCAGCTCAAGCAGTTGCATCATGTAGCTGCAGACTCCTACTGATCCCTGGGATTTTCCCAGGAAAACCCATTCTTGTGCTTACGTGCAGTTTTGTGAGATCTAAGACATAAAACAGCCCAAGGACTGAGATTAAAAATGCAAGAGACAACAAAACTCAGGCTGAGCTAGCTACATGATGACTTCTTGGCAGAACCTTTCTGTCTTCTACACAGGTATAGTTTCTAGGTGATCAAAAAAGCATACTGACAGTAGTGTACCAGCATTGTCATGTTTGTATCCCACATGTGGCCAAGGAGCTGAGGGTACAGACCTCATTCCTCTCAGTAAAAACCCCCTGCTCTCAAGCTCTCTAACCCTGAGAGTTTCACCTCAGTAAGACCACTGCAAAAGCTGAGCCCGGAGCACCAGTTATGGTCTCTGTGTGATGCAGACTCATGCAGAAGCTGTACATTCCAGAAGACAGTTTCAAACTTCCAAATCCTGTTTTGCAGCTGCAACTGTTCAATGGAAAAGGGCTATCTGCCTGCAATAACAATCATTACAGAATTAAATAAAGCTGACGTGAAGGATGCCTCTTGATCTTTGGGGACAGAAAGTGCAACTGTAGAGAAATTAAATCTTTTCTTCTTACGTGGAAGCAGCCAAGAGCCAAGTCTGCGTGTAACCTCTTGCGTATTTAGAGAAATCAGTCACATTTCTTGTCAATAAGCCATTTCCTACTAGCCTGAGTTTAGTATATTGAGATGCTGTACTGGAGTGTAAAGCAAGAGCAGCTTCTCCACAAACCCGATTTCAGAGCCAAAAGCCACCAAAGTAGGGTGGGCGGGGATTTTCTCCAAACAGAAACCCAAACATACATCACTTTCAAGTCCCTACACTGAGACCATCCAGAATTTGGAAAATGAAACCAAACACTTTTTCAGGGCATTACAAACAGGTCCTATAGAATTACTTTGCATCTCTTCTGTAAGAGAAATCATGGGAAATTATGTAAACCCACTCTACTCTCACTGAATGCTATTTGAGTTTCTGAGTGGGTTAAGCAAGCCAAGAATTTCCAAGACAAGCTGCAAGACTACTTGAAAGAAGCCTCAACAGCCATGACTCCAGGTCATTTTTTTTCCACTAAAAGCCCAATTCTAAACATGTTAAGAGACAAAAAGACTGAATTAGGCAATAAACTTATTTTTAAACAGAGCTCACGGGAAGGTTTCCTCCCCACAGTTTCACTGATGTAAGGCATATCAGCCATCTGAGCTTATTTCTGGTAAGTTCAGCCAGGCTGCTAGGTTCCAAACAGTGGCAGAGTTTTAGGGCAGCTTGTTAGCTCAGTTACAGCCAAACTAATTTAGTAGGACTAATGACGCAGCTCAACTCCCGACCTACAAGTACACAACCATTACAGCATTCACCATGTGATTGACAACTCTAGCTGAGCTTAAACTGAACAGAAATAATCCTGTTTCTGTGTGCTGATTTTTGCTGCCGGCTCATCATGGCTCTTTGACACCACCAAACACAGTCAACAGCCAAGAAGGTGGTGACCACAATCATCAACCCATTTCCCCCATCATCCATTTATGAACTAGGCAGACTTACAGTCCATGAAAGAAGAATAAACTCCTTTGATGTTACACTGAATAGAGTAGCCTGGCAGAATTTTCAGCCCTTACAGGCGTTTACACTACTGCACGAGAACTTCAACCTCTAAGCTATACCACGACACATATTTTAAGAGTACTGCAACCAGCACGATCACTTTGTTTCCTATTTTGTTGCCTTGCTTCATGCATCCTCATTAGTGACTACACTTCAGGTTTTTCTTTTATTTAGATAAGATAATGCCATGGTGAAATTTATGTATACTAGAAAAATAAAGTTTTACTAGGTACTACATTATTTGACTGAAAATACAAACCTAATGTTTATACCAGCCACTGACTTAATTCCCGATTCAGTTTCTGTGAATAATTACTACAGTGACATTATTTATGGAGATCATGCCTACGCATTAACCCTACACTTACACCTGGGTCCTGCACTTGGGCCACAACAACCCCATGCAACACTCCAGGCTTGGGGAAGAGTGGCTGGAAAGCTGCTCACGGAAAAAGACCTACAGGTGATGACTGATGGAGCTGAACATGAGCAGCTTGTGCCCAGGAAGCCAAGAAGCCAACAGCATCCTGGCCTGTACCAGCGATAGTGTGGCAGCAGGGCCAGGACTGTGAGCATCCCCCTGCACTGGGCACTGATGGGGCTGCACCTAGAATCCTGTGTTCAGTTCTGGGCCCCTCACTACAAGAGAGACATTGAGGGGCTGGAGTGGGGCCGAAGAAGGGAAAAGGAGCTGGTGAAGGGTCTGGAGCACAAGTGTGATGGGGAACGGCTGAAGGACCTGGGGGTGTTTAGTATGGAGAAGAGAAGGCTCAGAGGGACTTTATCACTCTCTACAACTGCCTGAAAGGAGGTTATAATGAGGTGGGGGGCAGTCTCTTCTCCAAATAAAAAGTGGCAGGACAAAGGAAATAGCCTCAGGTTGTGCACAGGAGGTTTAGATTGGATATTTGGGAAAATTTCTTCACTGAAAGGCTACTTAGGCCCAGGGCAGTGGTCGAGTCACCATCCCTTGGAGGTATTTAAAAGACATGCAGATGTGGCACTTGGGGATATGGTTTAAATGGTGGGCTTGGCAGTGCTGGGGTAATGGTTGGACTTTATGATCTTAAAGATCTTTTCCAACCTAGCTGATTCCATGACTAATATTATATTAATATCATCTCACTCTCAGTGGGGAGCACTAATGCAGGCAGGACTCCCACCTAGCTTCAGCTGTCTAGAAACTTGGTATTTATTCTAGCCTAGCTCCATACAACACCTCTGTAGTCTGACACTGATTTCTTCTATTTCTCTCAAGATGACAAATCCTGTATTTTTAGGCAGCAAGGTTAAAAATGGTGAATCCATCCTATCTGCACACTGCAGAAAGGCCATGGGGTTAGACCACACGTTTCCTGGAAAGCCACCAGCGTCACAACTGACCTGATTTGGGGAGCACCATCTGCTTTTACTGTAGCAAACAGAAAATGCAGCTGCTTGGCGTTTCTGGAAGTGCCAGTTAAAGGTAATTTTTATTTTAAAACATCACCAGCTTAATGTAAGCCCTATGAAAAGGCAGCATCAGTGAAATTAAGCACCCTTTGCAAGCCTATCTGAGATCAGATCCCAAGGGAACATTTGCATTTTTAAACTATTTTGTGTTTTTTCTGGTAATTATGTGCTACAGCCAGCCCACAGACAAGCTCCTACTGATTCCACATGCAAGTACCACCAAGATCTTCTACAGATCACCCACCCTGCCGCAGTGAGAGTCACAGCATTTGCAGACAGCACAAGGCCTCCTCGTTTTTCTTTGTAACAGGCATAACCAGGCTCCT